GTAACCCCAATTGTCCCCATTATTAGTAGCCTAGTTACTAAGTCACCCCCCTCCAAGTAGGGTGGAAGCTTCGGGGTTCAGGGGGACTGGCAGGCAGTGGATCAGGCTTTGGGCTAAGGGCTGCGAGGTTCAGGTGTAAGGCTTCCGGGTTTGTGGTTGACGGTTTAGGTTTAGGGAAGGATGTACGGGCTTGGAGTCTGAGGATGCCAAGACCCTAAACTCTAAATGTAGGACTCAAGGGTTAGGTCAAAGGGTTTAGGGTTGAGTGCATGCAGGGCCAGTCGCTGTTACGTGGTGGCCATGAACATGGGGAATTCTCTACACAATCGCTGGGAAGGAACCATGATCTTACATCTGTTGAGAAACCCTCAAATTGTGTAGCACACTAGCTTTATTTGCAGAACTTAATGCTAATACCTTAAACCTGAAACCTACTAAAGGACATTACTTGGTTATGACTCCGTAGTACTAAGGGCGTTACCGCACTACGGATTTTGCAAGAAAGGATGTGTGTACGTCTAGCCATGGCGTTTTGTTCGAGTGGTAGACACCCTGAGCCCTAAACCCTAANNAACCCTAAACCCCAAACCAGTTTTGGATTCGAATGCCTGGTGATACGAATCTGTGCATTTCTCAACTACAATCAAGACTTCTGAGCAACCTCGGCCACATGGGTTTACGGTTTAGAGTTCAGGGTTTACAGGCTCTAGAGGAGAAGATACTTTGTAGTATATTACAGACTACCGAAAACAGCGCACCATAGTTGTACAAGAAATGCAGGACAATAACTTAGCGACTATTTCGGCTTCCACATTAAACGCACGATAAACAATTCTATACGGCCCCAGCTTCTATTTCAGTTTCCATTTTGTCTTCCATTTGATTCTCCACTCTTTTTTCTGCTAAGGTTTCCCTACATCAAATTCCCAATATAAGTTCATTGTATACCCTACATAGCACCATAGAACCTCTATGGACCTTTACCTCGAGCCCTAAACCCTACCTAAACCCT